TGTTCCGAACTTGACAGACGCAAAGTCCAATCATTTATTATTCAGACTTGTTCTATACCCACGAATACAAGACCGAGGAAGAATACGATAGCACAGTCGGATGGAATAGTATATTTGGATGGTTATGCCAAAATACCGATGCGTTCCAACTAACTGGCTAGAGAGTCGAATACGAGCAATGCAACGTAACACGACAGCGTGCCAAATGGCGAGGATGCTTGACCGGGTGCCTTCAGCTTAGCGAGTCCAGTTAAACTATCAAGGTCAGCATCAATGTCGAAGTCGTCAAACCCTAGGCTATTGATTTTGGGGAAGTGTGTGACGCTACAGATCACTCCCCCCCTAGTGGGTTCGTGAGGACCCTAAGACGATACCAGCCGGAAGTAAAAACCCAGTGGTTTCTCCACTGGTAAAACTCTCCGATGGGCTCACTGCGTGAGGTGGCCCCTGGTTGTCTGAACCTTATTCTAGGGTGTCGTGGCAATAAAAAAATAAAATACAACGAATGGAATTGTACGTCGGTCGCGGTCCTCAGTTTTTTCGACGTTCCGTCCAGTGCTCGTTGCACCTGGAATATAAAAAAGTCTTTAATACCACGAAAACGTTGCGTAAAAATGGGAATTATTTATATATAAACGTGTCGAAAAATAAAAATTTACGCTTATCTTCGCCGTTTTTTTAGTTTTTATTACATGGTAAATAAAAATTGATATAAAAAGGCAAAGTGTACGAGGGTTTGTGCTGCCGGTAAATAAGAAAAATAGTGCCTCGGAAAAAAAAATGGTTGGCACACATAAGCTAAGTTGAATATGACTTCAGGTACTCTGGGAACCTGACGGTTCGACCTGATCGTGTTTTTTGTTGCGCCGCTGGTTGTTGCAGCTGTGCATTACCAGGCACATCGTCGAGAATTTCGATAATTGAGTCATCCGTCGGTCGGATGTAGCGAGCTGAAACGTCACTTACAATGGGGTTGCCTTCGAAATAAGCTGGTTTCAAACGGTCGATACTGACAGTATCTTCACGTCCGTCTCGCTCAATTACATAGAATTTCTCATGTCGCTTAATCACTTTGAACGGCCCGTCGTAGGGTGGTTCAAGTGGTCGACGAACAGCGTCGTGGCGAACAAACACGTGTGATGTCTTCTGTAAACTGGGGTGGACGAAAACATCAGTCGTTTGCGGTCTAATCGGAGAAGGCCTAACTGAACGCATTGCGTTTGTAAGCCTAGTCACGTAAGATGCCCTGTCGGAAACATGTTTGAAAGTTGAAGGGGAAACAAACTCACCTGGTAGGCGAAGAGTGGTCCCATAGACGAGTTCTGCAGGAGTGCATCCAGCATCAACTTTCAACGCGTTACGAATACCTAGTAGGACTAGAGGCAGAGCCTCGGTCCACTGAGGTATGTTTGTAGCTGAAAGGGAAGCTTTCAGCTGTCGATGGAAACGCTCTACCATGCCATTTGCTTGTGGATGGTAGGCTGTCGTTCGGAACCGAGTGCAACCTAAAAGTGCCGTTAGAGCGTGAAATAGTCCGCACTCAAATTGGCGCCCACGGTCGGTTGTGACGTAAGATGGACATCCGAAGTTCGCGATCCATCTTTCGACGAAAACACGAGCAACTGTTTCGGCAGTAATATCTTTAATGGGTACTGCTTCCGGCCATCGTGTGAAACGATCAACACAGGTGAAAAGGTAGGTACATCCATTAGATTCTGGTAGGGGTCCTACAATATCTATATGGACGTGGTCGAAACGCATGTCTGGGGCTAGAAATGAGCCTAAAGGGCTTTTCGTGTGTCGCGTGACTTTACACTTTTGACAAGCTAAGCACGACTGGGCCCACTCCTTAACGTCTTTGTTCATCCCAGGCCAGCAGAAACGTTGTGCGATAAGCCTAATGGTGGCTCGTACACCTGGATGAGAGAGTTTGTGCAACGTATTGAAGACGTTGCGTCGACAACTCTTCGGAACTATTGGGCGTGGTTGACTAGCAGAGACATCGCACAAAATTGCATCCTTGTCTGATCCAACAGGACAAAGTCGCAGTTTGAGAGTTGTGGACGACAACTCATGATGCAGCTCAAGGTCTTCCTTTTGACGCCGAGCTAGTTCAACGAGATCAATACCCTCGATATAGTTTATCGAAGCTATTCGAGATAGTGCGTCGGCTGCGGAGTTGTTTGCTCCAGAAATGTGGCGGATGTCTGACGTGAACTGGGAAATGTAATCCAGCTGTCGCGACTCACGCGGGGAGTATTTGTCAGACGCCGAGCTGAGGGAAAACGTTAACGGTTTGTGGTCTGTGAAAATAATGAAATCACGACCTTCCACAGAATGTCGAAAATGGCGTACAGAACAGTACATGGCTAGGAGTTCCCTACCAAATGTACTGTATCTTGTTTCCGCGTCTTGCAGCCGCCTCGAGAAAAAGGCTAACGGTTGCCACTGGTTGTCAGTCAACTGTTGCAAAACTGCTCCAATTGCTGAATCAGATGCATCAACAGCAATACTCAGAGGAGCATTGGGGTCATGATGCATAAGCATGGTTGCGTTCGAAATGGCTTCCTTGACTTTGGAGAAAGCAAGTCTAGCCACGAACTTCGCAGTTCCTCGAAGTAGATCTGTGAGTGGTCTCATGACAGAGGCACAGTTAGGGATAAACCTTCGGTAATAACTTACCAGGCCATTGAAAGTGCGGAGATGTTTCACAGTGGTCGGCTCTGGATAGTTTGTGATAGCCGCCACTTTATCTCTCAATGGGCGTATACCTTTGTTGTCAATGGTATGCCCAAGGAAGCTGAGTGATTCAACTCCTATTTCACACTTCTGTAAGTTAACTGTGATGCCATGTTTTTTGAGTCTTTCGAATGCGAGGTCCAAATGTTTAAGGTGTGTTTCCTTATCTGGACTCGCAATTAGACAGTCATCGATGTAGACATGAACAAAATTCAGACCACGGAAGACGTCGTCCATAAAGCGTTGGAATGTTTGTGCTGCATTCCGAAGACCAAAAGGCATGCGCAGGAATTCAAACAGGCCAAAAGGAGTAATAATGGCTGTTTTCGCGATATCTTCTGCTGCCATAGGTATCTGGGTGTACGCTTTGACCACGGAGTTGAGGATTTGTCCTGGTGCGAACTTGACAGACGCAAAGTCCAATCATTTATTATTCAGACTTGTTCTATACCCACGAATACAAGACCGAGGAAGAATACGATAGCACAGTCGGATGGAATAGTATATTTGGATGGTTGTGCAAGATACCGATGCGTTCCAACTAACTGGCTGGAGAGTCGAATACGAGCAGTGCAACGTAACGCGACAGCGTGCCAAATGGCTAGGATGCTTGACCGTGTGCCTTCAGCTTAACGAGTTCAGTTAAACTATCAAGGTCAGCATCAATGTCGAAAGTCGTCAAACTCTAGGCAATTGATTTTGGGGAAGTGTGTGACGCTGCAGAATTGTGACCTTGTCGTACCTTACGAGTTAGTTCTGTTGCAGTACTTTAGAAGAATCGCTGCCTTCCTCCAATATAGGAGCTTTTGCTGGCGAACCCCATCGGAATTACACATGAGAGAGCCAGAACCGGGCCTAGTTTAACTCCCTCCCCTTGGAATAATGAGCCTTATGGAGCGTTCTGCCACGGGATGTAGTCACAGATCCCACGGCAAACACACTTAAATGAGCGTTAGCTCGTATGCTTACCTCAGGCGTATCCATGGCATTGCTGTTCTAACATCACATTATGGAATAGGTAGACCATGTTTCTCCGAGCTTTATACAGCCAATCGTTTTGCTTGGAATTTTTGGGAAGTGCACGCGAATAAATGGGTAAATTGGAGGTTGGTTGATGAGATTTGCAAATCTGAAAATAGACAAGACGACTTCGCCATTTCTTTTCAGTGATCCACACAAAGAAACGAAAGACTCCTAATCGTCCCAGTAACCAGTGGCTCAATGGTCAACTCAAGCTAAAGTAAAAGTTACAGATCCACAAAAGCATTCATCTCATAGAAGCCAAAAGCAGGAAGGCGGAAGGGGTTTCTTTCCTCATCGCTGGAATAAACGAAGAGGGATTTGGGCGTTTTGGTCTCTCAAGGCTTAAAATTCTATGCCAACTATGACAGAAATGCATTTTGCAGCAACTTGGCTTTAGTAACCCTAGACGAAATTTTGGACAGTTCGATTGCAGGTGTTTTCACCGATTTTCCAGCGGCTCCATACGGCCTCACCCGGGGGTTCGGGACTATAGTCTTCCCCCTCCGCTCTCTGCAGATGGACAAATTAAGCTTATAACGCATCCAGAGGCCATCGACCAAATGTATTCGAGGACTTAGGTCTAAAACATGAAGAATGAGTGGTTGTGCTTGATCTATAACCTCTGGAGTATATAAAACCAAGAAGGGACTTGATAGTGTCTCAACGTCTTGAACAACCACTCCGTCGCTTATCGAATCTTAGTCGAAGCACCAGTCTTAGAGAACAGATACAGAAACTAAGCGAAGAACATAACAGTTTGGATATCAAACATAACGTTTATTCACCAGGAGTTATTGAACCCAGGAATGCTGTTCTGTAGAAGTTGCCTGGGTTACTTTACCTGTATCCCTTAGACGCCTGCCTGTTAAATACCTAGGAAATAGAGTAAGCTGCTCAGAACCAGCTGGATTAACCCCACTTTTGCCATCCTCTTTACTATTACACAAGTTAATAACCACAGGAACAAGTGAATTGGGGATTCTAGACACAGGAACCAGTTAACCGAAAGCTTCTATGCCGTCAGTGACCATTTGGACCACCTAGACACAAGAGAACAAAATATCAATTTAATATGCTCGTACTATTAGTGTCGGACGTAAGATAGTTTGTCAAAGTATATCCTCAACATTTTTCTCAAAAAACTCCAGTGTTATTAATGAGTGGGGTGAGAGTGTTTTTCACTTCATCCCTTCCAATGCTCTCTGATGTTCAAGCGGTCATTTCGACTTTCGACCTTGATGACTGGAAAGTTGTCGGTCATGTAAGGTTTTTGTCTTCCGGTCTTTTTTACTTCTGTAGAATGAGCAGTTGCTTAGAATCGGTAAGAGATTGGGTACTGAAGGAAATGTTGCTGAACGGTGACTTCTGCAGATTGTGTTTGCTCATGAAGAAAAGTATGAACAACTATCGTTTAGATTATGAAGGGTTGTTGGTTCCGGTCGAATACTTAGACGTAATTGATCATTACTGAACTAAATCAAGAAGAGAACTGCGGACCAAACGACAAAATCTACGAAAGAGTTAATTTAATGTCCCCAAATAGTCAGCTGACAAGGAAACGCATCATAGACTCGTATGAATAAGTCGGGTGCTGATTTTTAAAATGCATGCTTCTAGCGTTGGAGAAAAATCTCTGGGATCGAGAGTGTCAGAGGATAGTCTGTCTGGTCATGTTAGCCATCAGATAGATGTGGTTTGCTGTTGGTCTGGATGAAACACCGTGGTTATCAAAATACATGTGGCTTCAAAGTAGCAGGAGTAAAGAGTGTCGTGGTAGTGGAGCAGTACTATCTTTGAGAAAGCCATCTTCAAGCACTACCCATCTCTTTTACTGCACTGTATAGTCCAGGTTAGGAGTTCATCAGCTGCTATATCAGCTTGCACCGATGTACTGTTGTTGTTGGCTTGATCTATCTCAATCCAACCAGTTCAGCTAACGACTTCATGCTCGAGTGTACCAGGGATTAGATTAAAAACACCATATGTTTCATAGATTCCAACGCGCCTAATGTAAACTGGGTTGACGTGTCCTTAATATTAAGGCTTCTAAATCTCATCGGCACTGTAAAGGTATTTCAGAGATTGATGGGAATGTATTTCCTATCTTATACCTGGTATATGTTGTATCTCATACTGCGAATAGGATCCAAGCGACCCACCCACCTTTCGAATTTGGTGACGTATTATAGCAGATCAAGGAAGAAGAAATATAGATGATCAGTAGTCTTTCTAACCTTCTTCTACTGCCTTAGTGTAGGTTCAAAAGTGATTGAACTTAGACATATTGTGTCTTGATCTAAAATTGGAAACCGTAGTGACTGCTTATTAGACTCAGTGATAGATAGTTGATGATTGCACACGTCTTATGAACGGCTGGTTATGGCATCTTTCCACTTTCTAGGGAAGTAAGTCTAGAATAACGGCATAATCAAGAGATCAGTAACTGGCTCAGCAACAATGTCCGCTAGAGGTGATAACAGTCTAGGGTGTAACCCATCAGGTCTCGGGTTAATAAACAACCCTGAAGCTGTTTTGTTATATACCGTGTAACTATTTGCAGGGCAATACCGATACCATTGTCGGGAACATCAGTATCACGACCTACCGAGTATATTTCACCAAAGTAGTTCGGTTATCGATTTGGACAGCTTAATTTCCGTCAGACCGTTTAAGGGGAGGAAATTTCACATTTTTTTCTTGCGCTTCGAATGAATGAGAACAATCTTTTAGAACAGTTTTAACAAACTGTTTCTCTTATGTGATATTTGAGACCGTGTAATGAAAATTTTGCATAGGTTCTGAACCTTACAGTACTTAGCTGTAAATGTTTCCAATCCAGTTTCTAAAAACAAATTCGATGAATATTTCCTGTGCATTCCTGAGCATTTTTTTCAAACTACGGGGACAGTGCAGTATACTATGGAACAAACAGCAAAGGTAATCCTAAAACATAGTTCTGCACCTATTCTAGGCATCGTCAATAGAGAAATCCTTATCGATAGCCCAATCCTTACTGACTTCACAATCCCTTTTATCTGAAATATCTGCGTGCCACAGATTAGGTCTAGGTAAAATGGCGTCGTAATCAAACTTATAGGTTCAAAAACCAGTGCCACGTAATTGCTTTTCGGCAGCGGTGAGAAAGTACCGTAGATCCATAGTGATTTGGCATTGGTGAGTTACAGCTTAATCAAATAATGATGACTGTCGTTCTAGACCACGTATCACACATGTTACATTTTGAACTAAAGTAGATTCTAATACCGTTATAATCAGAACGTTTTCCACGCAACTACGTTAGGCTAGAACTAAGCTCCATCCAGCTTGTTGGACTTTCAGGTCTCCAACTACTAGACATCTATTGTTTCTACTCCAGTTCCGTGAGTTAGTGAAAAGTTATTTGCAGGACAAGTTAGACTGCGATATGATTGCCTTGCTTTGACTTCGGCTGACAACTGGCCACTTGGCAGTTACGACATTCATGTGCTTCTAACTTGAAGTCATCATAAACATAGGGTAATATTTCTTCACCATTGCTGCTTACAATGATATGGAGAGAATTAGAATAGTCCAAGTCTTGCCAGCCATGTTTTATGAATGGCCACTAAGACCTAGTTCATAGACTTAAGTTTCCAGGTTTGATATTTTATCCCCGATATTGTGGACATTGGCGTAGAAGACATTCAAAGTGCTTAAAGAGTCACTCGACCTATGTATACGTGCCTTGAAAGCATTCGTTTTCAAGTCTTGAAAACCTGAAAACCCAAAATTCTGAGACTGCCTTCTCCCTTCGCTTATCGAGATTTTATTTCGGTGAATACTTGTCTTGTTTTTATCCGTTCCTTGAGAGACTAGTCTGGTCGGATGCGGATGTCTAAATTCTAGGTTTGGATACATCCAAGAGTGATGAAACTCGGAATAGATCACGGTGTCACTAATGCGTCCACGCTTTATAATGTTTACTGTGTCATTTCATTACTTGCTCAAAGTTCTATTTCCATCTTATGACTTTCTGTGGATTCTGATGACAGTTTTTTCTAGCTCACCTCGTTACTTTTTGTGCTGCTGCGTTAAATTATGTCAAGTTTGGCCGTCAAGCAGTAATATCAGTTCATGTGTTCATATTGACTGCTATCTTGTTTTGCTTTATAGGTGTTAGAGGGGTGTGTTATGCTTAGAGTTTATATGATTTTTCCTGACGCCATGGCACCTCCTATGGAGCTAGGAGTCTAACTCCTGCTCTTTTCACCACAGTGTATGGACTCTGTATTCCCCCTTATCTTGAAAAAATTCGCTTGTGTTCTCCCCACACTTGAAGAAGGACATAGCCATCCTAGAACGGGTTCAGAGAAAAGCTACGAAGAAAGTGATTAGGTTACGGTACAAACCTTACCTGGATCTCTTAGTCACTCTTAGGCTGCATCCAGTACAATACGGGAGAATTGGAGGAGATATTATCATGATGTACCACATTGCCCATAATCACTATCCTAACAGATTCCTCTTAAGCTTTAATCAGATATGCCACGTCAAGGGTCACCCGTTAAGAGTAGAGCATGAGAAAGCACGTACAAAGATCTTTGCTAACCCGTTTGCAGTTGGAGTTTGTAAACTGTGGAACTCTCTACTTTCAGAAGTTGTTACGGCCCCATCTCCTGATGCACATCTAGAGTCTTGTGGTACCGGTGGGCTTTACTCAAGAAGCTTCCCATCATCTGCAGATCATGAGAAGTAATATTACGCTGAAACCAGATTAATTAGTAATCAATTATCTCTGTCCTCTCAGGTTTTTCGGAACCAGGAAGACACCTGTTACCATTCTAAACCTAGAACGTACTCCAAAAATATGGATGCAGAACTTAAGGAACCATAGTTCATTAATTTTGTTTGTTCATAATTTGTTGGAAAGCTGAGATACTACCCACACAGCAACACTAAATCAAGTGTTTATGTTTGATTTCCACTAACCGAGTCTTAGACTTAAAATCTAATCCACAGGATATGCCTCAGGTTGTTCATTCTCATGGTTTTTGGTGACCAGCGTAGATTGATATACCACTTATTAGCCATCATTAACATGAGACCGGGGATTACTGCGTAACAACCCAACTTACCACACTTCATATCAACACGTGGTAGAAAGCACCAAATGAGGCATAGCGAAAAAAGGGAGGAAGTAGTATGAATTCGTACAAAGAGAATAAGAAAGGATAGAACTATGAAAAAAAGTCGTTTGATTATTAAGGTGATCATAACATGAGGATACATCTGCGTCACATTAATTCTGAGCCACATAATTTAAAGTATCCAACCACTGACTTCCATTATCACATAGACACCGACCACAGGGTCTGCATTTCCCAACACCACTCTCTATGAATCAGAGTTCTTCAAATCCTCTAGGTGCAACCTTTGTATTCGCCTTTTAAATAATAAATGCCGAATATTCGCTTTTACTTCTTTGGAAACACTTCAGTGGGACTGCTGCTCATTGGTCTCAACTGTCGAATTCCAGGTAGTGTGTCAAAGGACTCATCTCTGCTGTTTCTGAGACACATATACAGGATCCAGGTGTGGTTATTTACTCCACGTCATCTGGCCAATTCGGTAATTCCTAAAAATCCACTTTACGAGTGTCCGGAGATTCAATGGCTGGCTCTCATGGACTCGCTGGTATAAATGTAGAATTAAGTTCTCGAGAAGTAGGTGCGACTGGATGCCAATCAACAGCCCTCTGTGTGCTGTCCGAGTGAATGGACCTGTGAAAACTAGAAAGGATCGTGAGACTAATAGATGTCTATTCGTAATATCCACTTCCACGCTCACTGATTGGATTTCGGATGATGCAAAGAAGCTGTTAATTTTGCCACAGAAAGCAAACCGTTCCCAAATCGTCACAATAGCAGGCGACTTCAACGCTCAATTAGGAAAGCTCACCCAATCGGGACGACATCTTGGTGGCATCTACGGTATCATACGTGAGTACAGTTTTTTCCTGATAGCCACTTGTTTCTGGCCAGCACTAACTCCAAACATAAGGAGAGACACTGAGCCACATAAAATCCGCCGCGATCAAACCAACGATGGACACAGATTGATTATATCCGTATAATTCATCGTTAGGAAATTGCCGAAAAGGGTGATTGCTGATAACCTCTCAAGACAAACAGCTAGAACGTTTGATGAAATACTTTGAAGCACAGTTCAACTGGCCCCTACAGTAGCGCTTCAGGTACTTTGCATCTAGCTCGAGCCTAAATGTGACGTAAATGACTGTCCTTGAAGTTGGGAATGCTGCATCGAACCTGGGTCGATGCAAAGTAACAGGACCTGACGGTTTGCCGCTACAAGTGTTTAGGGAAGAAGATAGTAAATTACATAGTAGAAAAATGGACGTACTAGTGTATGGGAAACATAGGCAGTCTTATCAAACTGGTCTACTTCACTAATCATTCTAGCCTGTGAAAAACGAGGTCTTCGTGTGACAGCTGTAGGGTAATCAAGTCGACTAACATCGTATCCGAGATTCTAGGGTAAAACGTCATCCGACAGTTGACTAAAACTCAGAAAAGAGAGATTTCAGACCTCGATGACGGTGCAGCAATCAGATGTTCACCCTCCTACAGGCTCTAGAACGCAGGTGTACCTATTGGTGGTCGACACTTGCCATATTTCTAGACCTTAACGGACCATTTGACTCTGTCAACCGTGAGGTGTTGTGGCAGTGTTCGACTGCAAAAGGAGTACAGAGCAAGTGTATGACGTTAACCACAGTTCTCTATTCGAACTCATGTAGCCATGTGAGGGCTTATGGAGCGTTGTCATCTGAGCTGACGACAACTAGTGGTGTCGACCAGGGATACCCACTGTCACCGTCCCAGTACAACCTTGTTACAGAAGTACCAATAGGCATAACCTTACGTACCTCTGGCTTCACAGGGACCGATCTACTCCGTGGTGGTCATATGGTTGACTTTGAAAGTACAGACAATATTGTGCTGATAAGTGACGATGCTGACAAAATACAAGGTCTTTCAAACGCTTTGAGTAGAAATCTGAGTATGTTTGGCATGCGTTTCGCACCTGTCAAGTGTAACACGGTGCTTCAGAAGTGGCCTGTAACTATTAGTTAAATAATAGAGAGTGACCTGGTTGAATTTATTGACCACTTCCATACTTGGAGAGTTGCATCAGCTCGAACGGGCTGGTTTCTGCCAAAATCTCAGCTTTGGTACAAAAGGCCTGTTTTGCATATGCCAACATGCATAATCTCTGGCGCCCACTGGAGAGATACCCGACTACCTATTAACGAATGCGTATACTACGGCGAAGTCCGTTCTTTTCTGATATACAGTTATGAGACTGACAGGGCTGTCGAAAGTATATGATATGATGTTGGGGTTTTGTTCATAGATGTCCTCGTAGAATTACCCATATATGGTGGAATAACCAGGCGAGTAATATCGAGGTCAGGCGAATTTTATTAGCCAAGGAAGGCAGGTCAATCCATAAGTTTGTGAGCTTTCAGCTGCTGAGAGGTGGCTGAATCATACGTTACACATGTGGAACCACTGCCCACCTTGATGTGCAATGCTAGGTGGGAAGGAAAGTTGGGGAGGCCGAACCAAGACGTGGCATCAGTCTACTAAGTCTGTAACTGTTTGTATGAGTCATATAGGGAGGGTTAGGTGATAGGGATAGAGAATCGATGGTTGGACATCCTTGGTGACATGGATGAAAATCAGGCACAATGGCACAGATGTATTCATTCTTTGACGTTTTCTAAAGCCTCAACGTTTTCTCTAACCTTGATAATCAGATTTCTTCCCCTCCTATGCACTTCTGTCCACTTTGATATCACTCTTTTTCTAGCCACTTATTCTTTACATGCTATTGCAAAGTGTAGCAACTTGGATTGATGCACTTCTTTGGGAACTTCTATGTTGATTTTTCTTCATTTTGCATGACACAAGGGTTTGGACTGCACTCCATCTGCTAAACAGTCACTTAGAGTATCATCAGCCTTCACGACGGGCATCTGGGGCATTGGCTACTGGATAAATGTGCATATTGTTGCCTAGTGCTTAACGATCTTTCTTCGATTCCAACACACTTTCTTCAGTTTCCGTGAGTGTAGCTGACTAAAAACATTTGGAGATGAGCCTGCCCTTCCTACCCCGTGTCGTTTCAGGGTACCCGACCATCAAGTGACAGCAGAATGACTTAATTTACTACTCGCATTTCACTGCTTAAGGATACCCAATGTAATTCAAATGTCTTTTGAAGAAATATAGGTCAAAATGCAAAAATAGTACATCAAACTTGTTTTATTTCCCATAACTTGATGTAACCTTCCTTATTTTAGGATATCGAAGTAATTGAAATCTCTGCAGTAAGATGCAAAATGAATCCAACGAACATATAAGTGCAAAGGATCATAGGTACATCTATAATATTGCTTTCTTGAACCTCTAGTGTGCGTAAATTACAAAAAAGGCGCCGGAGATCGAAGAAGCATTCTGATGAACCGGAGTCCTTTCGAAAGACTGATAAATCGGATACTCTAATAGAACCTTTTGTTCCTTTCGTGCGGAAGATAATATTCGGCGAAGATGGAAAAATGCAGAACTCCTATTCAGCAGGTAACGAATGTATGCATAATTTTTGTTAGAAGAGGATTTTCGAGTTTCTGACCGTAATCGCAGGGCAAAAAAGCGTTCAGGATATGTCTCATTTACGGATTTATATGCTAGATGGGATTTTGCTGCATCCGAGTCTTCAGCTTTAAATTTTGTGGAAACTGATACTGATGTTTCAGATAAGCAGCCTGAATTTCTACATGAAGTACCAGTTAAATACAAAAAAGACCAGCACTTAGAAGTAAATATCTACAGTTTTCCTGTAAGTTTGTTTTTCAAGCTTTCATTAATCCCTGTAGAATGATTATGAAACAGCTGTAAAATACTGGTATACCACATTCCAGCAACTCCATTTGCTTACCAGTCTGGCTCCGAATCAGGTAAGCTGCTACTTGTGGTCAATTGCTTTTACATTTTTTAGCCTCTTTCTGTATTGAGGAAATATACTAAGTCATGAATGCTTTTTCCAGTATGTGTCCCAGTGCGTTAGGTTATATATCGGGATAACTGTTTATTGCACACTGGGAAAGTCAGTCGATATCAACACGGAACCTGCTATTCCTGTGTAACAATCCAACTTGCGTGGATGTATCTGTACCACTGTGACCTATTTCGAGCTCCATCACCAAGTCTTTTACTATAGGTTTCAGTTGTCATATGGACCCTAGTCTAGAAGTCTACACCTCTGTACATGGCTCAGACCAATAACCATAGACTTGAAGAACTGATGTCACGTTTTAGTTTTTTCATTATTATTTGTCCCTTGGGTTCCTAGTGGAACATAGGGCTTCAGTAGCACGTCTCCATTCCACTCTGTTCTCTGCAATCTTTTGAACATGGCTCCACGACTGCCCAGCTCTCATTTCTTCGTCGCACGATCTCCTCCATATCACTCTCGGACGCCCAACTCGTCACTTCCCATCTGGGTTCCACTCGAATGCCTGGCGCCTGATGTCCCCGAATGGTCTTCTCAGTACATGCCCAATACATCTCCACTTCTTTCTGCATATTTGAGCGATAGCTGGTTGGTTCGTTATCAGTCAGCCACAGTTCCTTGCTGCTTATTCTTGTTATTCTGGCCATCTTAGCTTCAGTACCAAGCGTAGGCAGTTGTTGATGAATATCTGTAGTCTGTTGGAAACGTTTTTCGTAACGCGATAAGTCTCTGAACCATATAGCAGCACTGATTTGACATTAGTGTTGAATATCCGGATCTTGTTCTTTATACTGAGTGCAGATCTCCACACTGGTTTCAGGTTAATGAACACCTGTCTTGCTTTTCCGATCCTGGCTTTGACGTCCTCATCTGTGCCCATGTTTTAGTTTAGTTGCCCTTAGTCTTTTTCTAGTCCAAATTTGATTCAGCTAAGGTGGCCTGTCGGGGTGGACTGATTGTATATGCGTATCTCTGCGCCACATCTGTCGGTCCTGGTTGACAACCTTATCAACTAACTTACCTTTCTCCCCTAGAATTCCTGCGTTTGATATTGAGGTATTTCGCATGGTGGTTTTGTTGTAGGGCCCCAGTCTTGCATAAAACATTGTTATTGATCTGAACATTTCTAACTTGTCATTTTCACGGCATGACTAGTAGTTTATTTTCTGCCCCCGTTGTAATGCAATCCGCTGATTGGTTAGTCCTCACTTTTACTGTGTTGATGCCTCAATTTACGGACCATCCAGCTTCGGTCTTTTTCCTCTATTCGTCCCGGGTTGGAGTCGGTGGCCCTTGCGTACGAGGTTTGCTATCGGTTAAGGATGTGTATTATATCCGTTCGGAATATATAACAGGTTTCATGAACGTGAGTAGGGCTACAAGATCATCAAGATTGTACAACATGTAGAGCCTCATATGGTTAACAATGAATAGCTAAGTTTCAAAGTGTTAGCGCAGAACAAAGAACTGCTGTATGGCACACGTACTATTGCAGGTAGTTGTACATCTCACCACCAATATATGATGTAAGTTGGAAAGAGGCAATGAAGTCTAGTGTTTTCATCGGTTCACTCGGGTTGATGTACCTTCAGTAATTGACGCGCTGAAGACGTTCAACTTCCCCATTCCTTATATCCACTCAGGATTTCAGTAAAAAACAATAAGTTGTATTTTGAAAGCGAGAAATGCATCCTTGAACTATTACTCAACGCATGTAGAAGACATGTGGGGCGATGCAGACTAAGTGGTCGGGTCCGCAGTACAAGAGGAACCACTGACTGGAGACTCTAGGGGATATGGCTCAGAACCGATGTCAGTGGCACAGATGTATACAGACATTATCCTCATCTCAACACTATACCGATTCTCACCATTCTGTCATTCTTCCTTTCTTTCCTCTGGTACTTTATATTTCTTTTGACTGAATTTTCTTATCTTCATCCCTCACCTCACTACCTTTCTACTTGATGTACTGATATGAGCTGTGGCAACTCGGACCGTTACGCAGTAATGCTTGGTCCTATGTTGATATTGATGATGATGATGATGATGACACTATACCTTGTTCCCTTCTACAGGATAGTGACGTTCGCGTACTAAGGACTCTTATGAAAAAAATTAAATCATGTAAAGTCAAACAAGGAGACATGGAAAAGTTAAATGATAATGGAGGGCGTGAACATCGTTGCATGCATTGTTGCAGATATTGTGAGGAGCGCAAGTAACTCAAATGTAGGCTGACGAAAAGTCTACGTAATGACTGTGAGCAGTGACGAGCGATGAAGGTTAGACAGATAAGAAAAAACTGATTAGCAACAGAAAATAGCTATTTAGGCTGATCAAGGAAACTGGGTTAAAAAAGTTAATGGTTAGTAAGATTGTAGCGCAGAAGGATGGATGTGGGATTCACTCGCACTGCAGACGATTGAAGCGATAGCCGGAACAATTCATGAAATGGTACGATCAACTTCCAGCTACTCTACGGTTTCCTGCTATCCACTCAGATCTTGAACTGAATACCGGAACGAGCCATTTGACTTCTGTCGTAGTTGAGTAGGGAAGCAGAGTCAGACGGGCTAGTACCAGAAGTATTGTGATCAAGAATTACCAGTTAGACTAACTGAAATTTTAGCTAGCGTATGGGGATCGGATTTGACTCAGTGTGACGCGTCACAATGACTGATTGTCCCGTTGTTCAAGAAGAGAGAAAACCTTCTATGATAACCATAGAAGGATCAGTCTGACGAACATCGTGTCTAAGGTTCTCTAATTATTAAACGTCTGAATGAAGCTCAGAAACAGCAACCGCAAAGCAACTAGGCAGATCCCAGACGTGGTCGTGGGTATATCAAGTATCCTCTCCCAGGCTGTGGAGCACAGACACACTTAGTGACATCCGGTGATGGCTGCATTTCTTAAGCTCAGGGTTTTGGAACTCGTCAGCTGATGAGTCTTATGGCAGTTTTCGTTCTTGAAGTACATAGCCCCGTCGAAGTTACGGTACTCGAATACTGGTGGACGTTTAAGAGCCTACTTGCACTATATGGTGCTCAGCATTTCAGTCTATCCTACAATATGGTTGTCAAGTAGGGTCAATAAAAGCGATGGACGTGAGAAAGTTTCAACCACTGTTGCATACATAGTTTATTCTACAGAAAAAGTTTACAGGTAACCGGAGAAAAAATGGCATCTCTACATGGTGCCTTCGACTGTTATTCTGAAATGTGTAAGGAAGTACATACTTACATGGCGCTCGTTCGACAGGCGAAACCAATGGTTACAGACATAAGGTGTACAACTTGGACTATTGCGTAGTAATGCTAAATCCCATGTTGATACACTTACGTATTTACCGCGGACACCACATATTGTAGACATCACATTCAAGTGCTCATCGTAACCCCTATTTACGTTCAAATATTGAGTCCTCAGTAGAGTGATAAACTTCCTAGACATCTCTCTCACCGAAAAATACTATCCATCTTGGCAGAATATATGCAGCTGGTAGGTCCAGAAATACAATTAGTATCGGGCGCTGGTGAGTATCCCATACTGCAATCCACTGCCAGGTTTGGAACGTGCTTGGTCTTTGCGGGTTTGTAATCGGATGAATATGGGATGTAGATTTTTACTGTTCGTCAAACTGGTTCGTTTGTGGTTATCGATACAGTAGACAGTCTTACTTATATTGTTATGAAGTAATTAACTGTCGTATGATCATCAACATGCTGTTCACTGACTTCCCATCATTACTTGTATAGCTTGTTTATATGTGATTTTGAGTTTATTCATTGTAGATAAGCAACAGGTCTATAAAATTAGTTTGCTTTTCTTCTCGATCACCGTTAGACGATAATTCCGTCCGTGAGTATATACAACTCGATCAAGACAGATTATATCTAATTAGTACTCTACTGTGCAGTTAACCTACCTTCTTTCACAACCCTGACTCATCTTCACTTTATAATAGTCATCACAAAAGTCTTCCTTAATTACTCGAAAGCTGGAATCATCAGCGACAAAGATTAGTTAAAGTGGAACACAAACCAACCAGGTCCTCCTTTTCGTATTCGCCTTTATGTGCTGCAGATCAAGAATCGTTGTATTTTTGGATACCAGAGTTGCCTTCGATTCATTGGCTGAAAAATACGCTTTTTTGGAATCCTTTGTATAAAGTAGGTTTCCTTTAGAGGTTTACTGTTATCTTGAAGGCTCTATACAAAATACACTTAAAGTAGATTAAGGGTATAAAACAAGTAACTACTGACAATTAATACATGAAGCACACCAGTAGCCATACTATTTTCGGTAAGCTGAACTTTCTTGACTGGAAGTGTGTAGACCGATAGAGTCTTAGTTAACAAGTGTACTTTGATCAGATAAATGCACTGATTACGGATCCCTTAGTCCAAGGATCTTCTTACCATTTGTTTTCAAGATGTTGGTTTCCGTCATTCTTTGCGAATTACACAAAAAGATTGAAAGCTGGTTTTTAACATAGCTAATATGATTTTGTTTACTTCGCGGATGCACTGACTATCTGTTTGCTCTCCATAAAGTGCATGAGTGCTTGCTCATTGCATTTTCTAACAATGTAGCTACTTTCATTTCTTCAACCAAGACATGTTGGGGTTTTTTACCAAGATGAGAACAAAACGCGCATCTTGGATTCTACTGCGAGTCACCAAGATGAATACAAAGAAGTTAATGAACATGTATCGAACCTATTAACAAAATGCTTTAGTCTATCAAATTCCATACATAGGTCAAACTAGCCGACGAGGGTTAACTGCTTTAGCAGAACGGAGAAACGTAAAATGGTTGGCCATAAGATGATAAATCTAGAAAAGAGCTAGGCAACAGCCATAAATGCTTCCATTTTAGTTGGTTTATTAGATATATCACACAGTCGAACAATATTGTTTACTGGATTATGTCCGAAACGTAATCCAATGAGCGATGTGTAATAAATCACCTAAATTGGAATTACATTCTACCAGAGCGCTCAAGTTTTACTCTTGGATTAGCCATACATGCTGTCACGCAATAGGATAAGACAAAGTGGCCCTGAAAAAAGTAGTTAGGGTAGGTCGAAAAATAACGAGCTTTGTTTATCGAGTCGACACCTAACACGTAATAAGAATAACACCACCAATTCTGGCTATGTGGAAAAATCTACCACAAACGAAGTTAAAGAGTGCAAAACGGTAGAACTTCAAAAACTGGACTAGAAAGTTGTGTGATTACTTTGATATGATCATGAACAATAAGTTCTCCTCGGAACTTCGCTGTGATGCAAATAAAAAGGAACTGTAAACGGATCATACTTTACCGCGGTACCAGCAATAGTTTGCGATCGCTGTTATGGTGAAACTTAAGTATTGTGATTTTAAAAACCTAGGATAAGAAATCTAACGAAGTTAAGTAACTGGTTAATACAATTATCGATCTAATTAATTTACGTTTTTTTAGTAAGCATGACAACCGTATTTTAACTGTGATATTCCCCTCTTCACAACATTTTTTCAATGCTATTTTCTGTACAGGCATTTCAAGAAAATAAAACCAGTTTAACTACGGAGATGGGAAAAGCCGCTTCTCCTACATATGAAAGTTCACAAAAAATCACCCATTTGAGTGAGTAGTTTTAGTGTCGGGATGTTACGCCACACATTTTTGTAATGGCATACCTGTTTTTTCCTGTGAGGCTAGGTGATTGATTATTGACAACACATTTCCTCTTAATTAAAAGCCTGTTCACTGTTAAACGAATCGATAGCTGCGGAAGTCATTTTGTATCCAGTTTTGTCTGATAACTCCGACCGATGGCCGCTACCTTCGTGTGGTGGTCGGGTTTGCACATCATGACAACGCAGCGGGTTATGCTGGTTGAGATATTTGTTCGCTTGAGATCGTATCATAAGAGATAAGCCTGACACGACAAAATCCAGTTATCGTTATAATAGAATTTACTTCGCTGTTATGGAGGCGGGTGAAGTACTACTGACTGGTTAGAGTGTGGGAGCAGTCGCGTTTTTCGAACAGATGACCGGAAGTTCCTGCCAATGCTGCTTTCTATATAGTAAGTGGGTTACAAGAACAGCACACCGTCTGCCGGACCCAGTCTTATGATTTCCCAGCCAGATGTAAAGCAGTCAAACCTAAACCTCAAACTTTCATTACAACCGCGTGTGACCGGACTCAAACAGACGCTCTGTGGCCACGTGACACTAATGTTAATATAATCGCAGTCTTAAGTGCCCCAAAAAGTTACTTTTCATGGTGTTGGTATCCGGGAAGTATCAAGTACCCTCATAGCTCAGTCACCACTCAAATTCCCTGAGGCCAACCTTCTATGTTTGTCTTCTAATTTTCATCCACGTTTATCGGTCAATATTACCACATCATGTTATATTTCTTCCAGCTCTCCTGTCCTTGATAGCAACTAGAGTTCCCGGAATAACATCGCTGGTCCCACGAAACCACTTCACAAGCTGCAAGCCAGTGCCTCTAATGTCAGTAGCCTCCTTGAGTGGACTTCATTTCATCTTTATGTGATGTTTATACCACAAAATAATTGTAAGACGTATTACATTGTTGTACTGATAGTACACAACCAATCAGTTTATGACGCTATAAAGAAATATCGATATTTGTTGTTTGCGGCGACATTATTAGGATAAGTAGATTTGGTTTCCTTCACCAACCGTAGAGGGGTTCGGTAAATAGAAAAAGTTTGCCTTCCCACTCAAGTAGCGGTTGTCGTAATTTTAAAAATCATAACCTCACACAGTTCTATACGATAACGAATATGGAACCGAGAGCGAGGCTATTATCAAAAAAATCAGACAGCACCAACATGGGATCTGCAATTACTGCGTACTGGTCCAAGTTGCCACTCCTTACATCAGCACATCAAGCGAGAAAGATAAAGAAATGAAGGCAGAAGATCAAGTAGTAGGAAATCGTGATAAGATAACGAGGAATAAGGAAGTACTGAACTCAGTGTAATGACTAAAATGAGGATAATGTGTGGGTACGTCGGCACCATAGAGATCATGTTTTGAATCATTTTACCATGAGTTCCTGAACCACTGGTTTCTGTTGTCACACAAACCCCGATTAGGAATTTCACGTTCCCCTACACGGAATTTATCGTCCGTTGGGTATTTCATCGTGAAACACCATCTTCAGAGAACTGAACATGTCGCGTGTTTCGTTAGTCAACGCTGAAAGGCAAGACGTTCATGAATGCATAAGGAATTTGGTTTTTGTGTAAGAAATGGGTAGTGAGAACCAAGTTAGGGATAGCAGGCTATGGTTAGATGGATTTCAAAAATTTCTGGAAGAATACGGGCATTTTATACGTCGCATGAAAGTTGTTGCCTAAGGTACCTAAAAGAGAAAACGGTTTCATCTTGCACGACGGCAGAGCCCAAGGGACGTCTACCTGAGGATGGCCACGCACGATCTATTAGAGGGCTCTCAGTATGGTGTCAACTGTTTCTTTCAAACTAAGAAATCCTATATCCTCAGCAGAAGAACAGAAAGCATAGTGTCATTTTTAAAACCAACCTTTTGTAGCCAATCCTCACGACGAGAAAAAGGCAACATCAGCGTCGACTGTTAGTGGCCTATGAAAACACTTTAAAGTTGTCACACTGTCCAACCTGCAGTAAGAATTCGTAACCCACCAAGGTGTAGGCCATATACACCGCAATGTCAATTGTTTGCAGCAGCAGCATTCTCTGGCACTAAAGAAATAATCATTCCAACCAGTATAGCTCATTGGGTTCCTGCAATATATAAGCCTGACCACGATGTCAAGGTATCAGCTTTCAGTATTCATCTCCCGTTAAATCAAAATCCGTCATTTAGCATATGGTCTCTGCACTATGACCCTCGTCTTGAGCTGAATTTGAGAGCTTGCACCTTTTGCTAAGGTATATCGCCGTTTTTTCACTCCGAATGGTTAAAAAAATCCTACTAAATTTGCCCGAGTGGGTCACGTCCTTATCAACTGCATCAGTTTCATGACACACTTCTTACTTGGATTTCGATGTTTTATACGCTTTGGGTTTTCAATTTTTGAACAGCAATCAAGGACAAATAATTCTAAGCACAACACACTTATTCGACAGAATCGTAACTTCATGGTCAATGGAACTTCCAAACTAGGCTCTTATTTTGAAGATTAATCGCTTGTAACAGGACATTACTTTTGGCTCTTCTGCATCTTCCATAATCTTAAGAAATTGCTTTCCAACTACAAAGCTGTGACAGGCATGGAATAGATCTTATTCATCAGTGTCTTACTGGCATTAAGAAAAATGCTTTTCTTCACAATTTTTATTGAGCTGAATTATTTACCCTATATATATATATATATATATATATATATATATATATATATATATATATATATATATATATTAGCAAGATCACTAAGAACTGTCATTCCACGGTTATCTTTTTTGTTCCTAGTATCAGCAGCGTGGACAACTGTGGTTAACAACAACATTGGCTCCCATGGATCAATAGTGTTTATTTTACAGGCAGAAGGAGTTTCAGTGTAGATATATTTTCCAGATTCCTATTTTTTACAAAGACCCTGTTGGTGAGAAATATATTTTTCCATTGGGTACTTTGAATTCGTGGTTTCCAAAATCCCTGGGACAATTTTCGAAAACCTTATCTGCCTTAAACACATCATCTAAGCTTTAAAGACTCTCTGACGCAAGTTTTTCGTGCTCCTTTGTTTTCTAAGATACCTCGTTTGGTTAAACACTCCATACTGGTTGCGACGATCGCAATACTCGACCGATAGCCTTTGCCTCGACGTGGTGGTCGCGCTTGCATATCACAATGACTCAGCTAGCTACACTTGCTGGAATGCTTGTTATCTGAGGTCCTACAATGCCACAAAAGTCAGTGATAAGACAAAGGCAGTCATCGTTGCAGTATGAATTGCTACGCTATGATGAGGGTTCGAGGGCAAAATCGTACTGCAGACTGCGTGGGGGCTGACGGCAGTCAGGTAACAAACATTATGCGATATCACTTAACAAGAAGCAGCGTGGCATCATCTCAAATCTGTTGTAACAAACGTTGAAGACCGTAGCTGACGCTTATAAGACTGTCAGAGGGTCAATGAATTTTATCAGTTGCTTCTGAACTAATGGATGTACGTAAACTCATGACCACGAATAGCGATGGGTGAGAAAGAGTAGAGATGGAAAAGACAGCTGCGATATCCAACAGTGGACAGTTGCTTAGGCTTATTACGGAAACGGGCGAAAAGGTCAGTTGGTTAGCGAGACTATAGAGGATAGGTCTGCGATTGACTCCCAGGAGGAGACAACTGGAGCGATGGGTGCAACATTCCAAGCAACAGCTCAACTGGCCTCCTACCACTATTTCGTTGCTTGGTTTCCTGCTGGATTGTGAATGGAACACTGATATAGGGCTTCCAGTACCTGCAAAAGTCAAGAAGGCTGTAGGTAACCTGAGAAGTAGCGAAGTCAGACGGAGACAAAACGCACTCAGCCACTTTGTGCACATCTCTGCATTGGTCAGTGAGCCACATCTACTGTGTGAGGTCTAGCGATAATATCTGGCTGCCCAAACCTTGGTGGGTGGTGCGGGTCACGAACTCGGGACCCAGTGGTCGATAATCAACTCCTTAAACCACTGAACCACGGCTCCAGAAGAATTTAAGGGAAGTGGTGAAGGATTTTGGTCGTTTCCCGGAGTGTTAACTAGTATGTAGGGGTCAGATACTATCCCCTTAACTGGCCTAATTAACTGATATTCCTAATTTTCAAGAAGGCTGAGAAGTCCTGTGATGACCACAGAGGAATCAACCTGACTAATATAGTATCTAAGAGTGTAGGTTCTATAATCATTAGGAGTCCAAGTGGAGTTTGGGAACAGCAAATGCGAGAAAATCAGGCAGGTTCCGAACAAGACCGTGGGTATATCGACCACATATCCACCGTCCGCCAGGTCTTGAGACTCGAGAAAAACTTAGCGACGGTCGACACTTCCTATGTTTTTCGACGTGATGGCTGCATTCGAATCCGTCGATCGTGAAGTCTTATGTCACTGAAAGGGGTGCCAGGTAAGCGTATCATTCTGTTTGAGGTTTTACACTGCAACACCTGTGGGTATGTTAGGGCCTGCGGTGAATTGTGTACGTCAAGTGGTGTCCACTTTCTCCATTTTTACTAAACTGAGTCCTATAAATGCTTATGCAGATCTTCCTCGTCGTCTTGTATTACAGAAGAACCCCTGATAGATCTAGATTACACAGATGATATATTTCTACTACGTGAAGGTGCAGAGGCTTCTGAACAAACTGAATAGCAATTCGAGAACTTCCTCGCCACACACATCCAAACTATTGTTACAAGAATGATCATCAATCGATCCCTATCTAAAATTGCGGAGTGCGTCGACCACTCACTTAAGGAGTCTGATTAAACCTAAGGAACAAGGCTAATGGATAACCTCGCACAAAGGTGCATTATCTCAAACTGTCACAGTCCACATAGTACAAAAAGAACACGTAGATAGGAAAAGAGTGATATCAAAGTTGTGGGATAACAATGAAAAAGTTACTGCAAACATTCAAGCTTTGGAAGACGTCTAGGAGTGGATTCATCTGCACGATTGTGACCGATTTTCAAACCACGTCACCAAGAGTCTTCAACCACTGATCCCTATCAACTCGGGGACTCCGGCCAAGTAGTCTGTATCTCCCCACACAATTTAGATCGAGACTTCAATAGACCGGTGCCAGGTCTTGATCTGGCCACCCTGAACTTTCTCTCACCTTCCCCTAGCATGACACGCCGAGGAAGGGGTGGCTCAGCATGCGTGGTACATATCCAAGGCACCTCAGTCGATGTTAGTTAACAACCTCATAAATCGACTTGCCTATCATACCTACTACTGTTCGCCTCACCTTAACACTGCTCATGCAATGATGCCACCGAACGCGAGTAATGCTACGAACAAGCCTGTGATCAAAACCATGTAATCGCTTCATGTTTCAGCCGTATAACAGGAGAGAACGGACTTTATCGCAGTATACTCGTCCTTTAATAGTCGCAGATCCCGCCAGTAGGGACCAGAGATGACGCAAGTTGGCGAATGCCTTTTGTATCCGGGCAGAGATTTCATCGGCAACTAGCCAGTTCGAATTGATACAACTTCTCAAGTAAGTGAAGTGGTCGATATGTACCACTACTTCACTCCCTATCATTAAAATGTCAGTGCTTGAGGGCCAGTCCTGGAGCATCATCTTACATGTGACAGGCGTGAGACACATGCCAAACATGCAAGGACTTATGCTTAACACGCTCAGAAAACCCCACATTATGTCAGCATCTTCACCTAGCGGGATAACATTGTCTGCGTACCCAAAGTCAACCAGGTCAATCCATGTGAAGTCAGATGTATTTAAGGTTATGTTCATTAGTACATCTAAGATGAAGGTATATAGGAACGGTGACAGGATATTTCAGGTGAACACCACTAGTTGTCATCGATTCACATGAAAACTCTTTAAACGCCTTTACATGACTGCCTGAGTTTGAGAAGAGAGCTTCAATAGGCATTATATACTTGCTGGACACACACTGGCAAAATTCCTTACGGTTAGCAGAATCCAACGCCTTCAAACAAGTTGATATTCATCATAGACTAACATCAGCTGGAAGAACATTGGAAACCTGGGAGCACTGGAGGGGTTTCTCCCTGTTATGGAACTCTTCAGCAGTGCCCACCCATGACCCCTCCAGGGTTCGGACCCAGAGCCCTCAGGTTCCGTGGCCAGCGCATCACCACTGAGCCGCTGAATCAGATTCCAATGGTCTATATTTCCAAATTCCGTCAGTTCACGACACAGTGCGACCACTGAAATTGGAAATATGGACCGCTGGGTTCCGACCCAGTGGTCCAATGGTAACTTGCTGGAACCTGAAGATCCTGAGTTCGATCCCTGGAGTGCTCCAAGATTTCTAATGTCCCTCTGATTTATGTCAGTCTATGATAAATATCAACTTGAAAAATTACTAAATCCCTACAACCCCCAGATTAAATACGGCAAGTGTCAGCCGCTGGCCGGTAAGTATGACTGTTTTCTGGACGCTTTCGAAGAGTGCATATCCAATCAGTGCGCCCTTGTGAAGTTCTGAAACCTGCCTAATTCTCTAGAGCTCCAGTTAGGTGTTGGATTAATAAGGATCCTACGATCTTAAACAACCTTAGTCAGGCTAATTCCTCTACGGTTGTCACGAGGAGACTTCTTTTTCTTATACACTTGAATGATCAAAAAAGTAGACCACCTTTGATTTAAACACGCCAGCTAGTACACCTCCTTCAATTTAACTAGCAATTCCTACCTCCATCAATGAAAAATTCAGGTAGAAAACTGTCGCTTCCTGCTGCTTTGCATCGTTCCAGGTTCGATACAGCCTTCTCAACTCAGCGTCTCACTAAGGTTCAGGCTAGATTCTGGGTAACCGAAGCGTTGCTTTGCCCCAGTCGAACTGGATACAAAGTATTTCATCCAACGTTCTAACCGTCTGTCCTGGCAAGTTATCTGCACTCCATCCTTTTCGGCGACGGTTTCACTAACTATCGTCTTTTTCTGGCCAGTATCCTTAATAACCCCAAAATATTTGCCGGGTTTTACCGAACACTGGTGCTTTCTTTTCACCACTGTTCGTGATCGAGACGAAAAAACTTTGTCAACTTACGTCCAAGTTGCTTCCTTCTTCATCGTGGTTGGAGCCAGCTGGAATAAGTCTTCTCGTTGTGGAAGTCCAACGACGTTTGGCCACCTTTGAACGTAGGTTGCCGATTATCTTTATCGTTGTTTCTACAGCAGACTTAATATCACGCCAGGTTCCCTCGGCATGAGCATTTCTCTCACGTCCAAATGCTTAGCTAACTCCTCTCTAAATGCGTACTTGGCGTCCTCATTTTCCACTCCACAGATTGGCCTTATCGCCTCCTGCGGCCAGTAAGGCCACATACACGAGCATGTATTTATTAGTGTGTGATCGGAGTCCAAACTGGTACTCCGGAAACAGCCACAACCCTTCACCGATGGCTTATAGTATGATCTGTGTTTATCGTTGGCTTGAAATCTGCGGACGCCATTCGAGACTCTCTTCTTATGCCTAAAGTTAGTTCTGGCCAGAATTAAGTGGTTGTCGGAACGAAACTCCAACAGACGATCATTATCAACGGTTCATGGGTATAGTATTCCGTAAATACCCCGAAGATGCCTTCCCAATCGGCTTATTCTCCCTACTTGTGCGTTAAAGTTAGTCTTCTGCAGCAAATTTGATAGCTCATAGAATTCATCCTTCACATCATCTGAACCGCAGTCGGTGAGCACGTAGACGGAGATTACGAATAGGGATCGGTCGATCTCATGGTCCTTCTTAGTAATTACGACTCCATTCGGTCGAACAGCACATAAACGGCTACCGACTAGTAACCAGTCAAGAAGTGCACTTTGCTCTACAGCCCAATGTTATATTTACATCAACGAGTCACTGGG